ATGATTGTTGGGCTTTTCTCTGTATCTATGAAGCGCCTTGAGGCGACATTTGTTGTGATTTGGCGCTATATAAATAAAATTGAATTGAATTGAATCATATTCTTTCAATAAAGTACATCGTTAAGGAAATTCTTCAAGGATATCTGGAAACATTGAGCAATCTCCGGATTTGTACCAGACTATTCAGTGTGGTCTGTATCCACACCAGGGTGCCTGACAGAGTATGTGCTCGAATGGCATCAGATCAATGTAAAGCTTAGGTTTCAGTTGACCTGAGTCCCCACTGGGAAACCCTGTCAAAGACTGAGGAAAGGCAAATCTATCAAACAGCAGCTGCTCTTACCTTGATGATAGCCTCCAAGTCTTCTGAGGACACACAGGGGTGTTTTAGCAGGAAAGCTGCCTTCTCTGCTGTGATTGTGATCTTCTGGTTATTTTCAAAGGGTTGCTCAAGCGCTTGGAACACCAAACCCCCTGCCACCAGGTAGGTCACCACCACTACAAACACAGCTAGCACAGTTTTCAGCTTCATCATGGTGAAGGGAGCTGAGCCATCGGCCACCGCCTCCATGCTGGCCACCATGCTCGGGGGACGGGAGGAGGCGGAGAGCCTTGGCAGAACGCAGCCCATTGGGTTCTGCATAGTGGCCACACTGGCATGTACTAGGCTGGACTGAAGCATGCCTGGCTGCACCTTCTTTGGTGAAACCAGGTTGGTCTGGACTTCCACTGAAACAAAGGGGAAATGAAAAATAGAATGATGTGATATTTGCATGACTGAAGTGATGTTTTCCACTGACAAGGGCTCTGATAGAAAACAGGTGATCAGCAGGAATAAGCAAAAGAAAGGACAGTTTGTTTGATTTTGAAACATATGCTAATAATTTTGCAGATGAAGAAAAGCAGAAAGACCAAAGAAAGTCCTCGGGGTACTCAGTGGTGGTAGTTAACAGTGATGCAATGGGAATTCACTGAAGTACAATTTGTTAGTCTATGTGCTTATGAAGTGCTTATAAAAATACTTTTTACATGTTACTTGAAACCAAAGAAAAAAATATTTGATCGTCATGGATTTATCTTTGTTGTCGTATCTTTGTCAGTATCTTGGTGGGCTGGAGCCTATCCCAGCTACCATAGGGCGAGAGGCAGGGTATACCCGACTGGTCGCCAGTCTGTTCGCAATCACATCTATGGCTAATTTAGAATTACCACGTAACCCCACTAACTAACTAGTGGGGTTACCCACTTACCAGGTAACTCCATGCATGTCTTTGGACTGTGGGAGCAATATGATGTTTGGAAGACTAAATAAAACAAGCACTAAGGTGCTGAGGTTACTTTGACTTTTGACTGACACTAATAAAATTTCTCACCACTGTCTCTGTTATAGAAACAAAACACTGAGTGGATTAATGGACAAGTGAATAAGTAGATTCAATTCATGCCTATTCAAAGTCACAGAACTTGAAGCAATAATGAACTCTGTAAGTTTTGAATGAGCAAACTAAATAATTATTTAGAGGATGTCAGCTATTAAACCACAGCAATAACAGGGTGCAGCACTCGAATGTTCCTTCTTGACCTTGGGCAGAAAATCACAATTCAAGTTTTGACAGTTGTTCAACTGCATCTCAGATCTAGAGGCTTTCTGAGTTGGCGGATAGTGTTTAGAGTAAATTCTATCGATAACTATTTTAAACAATCATTCTCTGAATATAAGTAACTGCTGATTATTATTTGCTACGCCACTGAAAGTGTTACTGTAAAAAAAAAAAATCCCAACATATTAGTGAATGTCACACCTTCTTCGGTGGTTGACAAAAACAGATCGTGATGAGCTCCCAGAGTAACAGCCCAGCTATGCCAAACAGGTGGATTTTGCATTTCTTCTATTCACGACACAGTGTTATGTAAAAGCAGCACAGGGAATCATGACAGCTGCAACACATTTCACTGACACTTGTAGAAACCAGCAGAGACGGCTGCTTTGATTTTATGTAATCAGTCAGCTGCAGTGTGTATAGTTAAGCTTACATGCAGGTGTACACTTCAGAAATCCCGCAATTAATGATGTGCCAACAGCACTTGAAAATAATAGAGGGGTGCCATATAAAAGACTTTGACCTGATCAAGAGCTTGCAAACACTCGATAAACATGCGCATGTTGACGGTGTGGGAGAACGTGACGGTCATGCGGGATTTGGGGGGCTATTTCCACGGGGGTGGATGAGGTAATGTTACGACAGACCTCCCCGCTGCATCACACCGGAGCATTTGTTGACTAACAGCCTCAGGCTAGATGTTCCTGCGTTGCCCCGCTGTGGGCATAATTACTCTTTCTGCCATTAAATGATTTCTCAGGTATAAACACCACAGAGTACCGAAGACGCCGCGGGGTGGATGCGGCTGCAGTGTTTGCCCATAGTAAACTTCAGCATGCAGCTTCCTGTGGAAATTCAATGTCTGGTCAGCATGTTAAGTGGCCAAGCCAGTGGGAGATATTGGACCAATTAGTGTTTACAAATAAAGGTTACAAAGAGCAGTTTGACTTCAGCAATTCATTTCAAAACATGCAGTAATGGGAGGATGTGAACGCCAACTTTCACCGAATCCAGAACGACATCTAACGCGAAAGTGCAGCATGAATAAAACACACCAGCACCTTCACAAAAATAACAGCATACTGACTGACGGGCTAACCTGGTGGAGGGTTCATGTTCCCTGGTTTTCTTGGATTCTCAGTGGGAAATTTCATCTTGGCTCTTCTGGCGCTGCCACTATTAGAAGAAATATATATCCAACTTCCAGGGTCTTTCTGTTGATTCCGTCGCTTTTAACCGGGAAAGGATGGAAAATGGCAGGGAGTAAAAAGACATTATCCGCAGCGCGTGGTTTCGCTTCAGTGGCCGAGAGACTTGCTGCTTGTATGAAGCTTCTCTTCTCCCCAACCGTGGCGGTCTTCAGAAGCGCACACCCACCGCTCGCCGCATCACCGTCTGCATTGTGTAGCAGTAAACACCATGGGCGCGGGTAACGAGAAGCGATGCTCCACTGAAGAATCTAACCATCACATTGCGACGCATTTCTGTTATACATTTACATCACGGTGCATCTGGACAGCTCTGCGCTGCTAGTTGTCAAGACCCACCACTCCCAGATGCTGCTGCTGGTGCAGTTTGGCTTAATCTCCACACCGTAGCGCAGCGTCGTGCCTTTACCACTAGATCACGTCTGTCCACATGAGAGGAGCAAGCAAAGAGAGGAGAGATGCTGAACCACAGCAAGACGCGCTTCAGTGTTTATTTAACAATAACACCTGGTAGCTGTTGAGAAATATAAGCATTATATAAGAAGTCTGTGCTAAATTAAAATATGTTCCTTCCATTGTTACACAAATTAGGGTTAGGATTGTGGGGTGTTAAAACTCTAACCCTCTCCTTTCATCTCCAACAGCATTCAGTCATATCTGGCCTATTTGATGGCACAAGATTACTGCCATCTTCTGACGCAGTTAGCTATTGCCTCTGGAAGCAGGCTTGATTCTGCTTGACTACAATTTCATAGCCAAGTTTGTTGCTGTTTCTTTCTTAAGAGCCTGTCCATGACCTGTTAACGAAGGCAGAGCTTGTTAAGCTGAGAGGTCAGCCGTTTCTTTGATTATTTGGGCATTCACATCGTGGATAAATCTGTGGTCTTTAACGAGAAACTAATGGGAGACCAGTATGCTAGACAAGCTGCCACTGGCTATGCTTCCTATGCTCTGATCAATCTACACACAGTACAGTAACCGAGCTAGAATTAGCAAGTAAACAGATGCGATAGCAGAGTTAGGAGTCTAGTGTCAAGAAGTTTTAGTAACCCTTCAACATGTTAGCAAGTAAACTCTTGTTGCTATAGAAGAGAGAATCAAATCCAGTTTAATAAAACAGCCACGCTGAACAGGTGCAGTCTGTCATTTTCAGATGTTGGATCTGAGAAATCAGACTTCATACAACACCTTCATTTCTCATGTATGATTTATCCCTCTTTAGATTGTCAGTTAACCATGTCACAGTGCGGGTGCCTGCGGTTTTTAATTTTTATAAAAGTATTTAATATACATTTAACATCAAGAAGTTGTTCCTGTGTTTCTGAGTTAACAGCTGTTCCTTTGAGAAATATCTGGTCCTCACAGCAGCCACAAAAAACACACA